ACCGAGCTGAGCTCCGTCCTCCACCATTGGAGCCATGGTCGCTGTCCGAGGTGCTGAAACGGTCCGTCTGCTTTCACACCGAGCTCTCTTCTCTACGGCCAACTCGCTCCCCTGATGTCGAGGTTGGGGTATATCTCCGCGATATCTCGGCTTTGATTATGTTTAATAATACACGGGGCTTCGGTAGGGGCTTCAATAATTCAAAAGAGCCAGCCTTGTTTCTCTCTCAGAAAGAGAGATGGAGGGATGCTCTGTCCTCGCCCTGCTGCTGTTACTCTGTGATGCGTGAGTGTATCTCACAGGCGGCAACACCCCGTTTCTTCTCCCTCCCTCCCTCCCGCTCCCCCTGTCTCTCTCTCTCTACGTGTTTTCTCAGTCTCTCTCTCTTTCTCTCTTTCTGTTCACCAACTCCCCCCCCTCCCTCCCTACCGGTAAAGCTGAGCTCATCAGTGCTGACGCAGTGGTGACGGAGGCTGGCTGTGAAATCAGGACCCCCGGTGTAGCAGCACAACAGGGCTGCCAATTCCCCTGATTAATTGTTGGGGAATGAACAGTCTTAGTCTGTATCCATCTCCTTCTTTGGTTGTGTATACGTGTGTGTGCGTGTGTGTGTGCGTGTGTATACATCCTTTATCGATAAGACTGCTGAATGGATGTGTTATACTGTAGTCTTCATTCATTAAAGTAAGTGGAAATTTGGCTGATAGGTTTGTATGCAGTGATGCTTTCCTCTGATATAGATTGGTAGTAATTCTAATAACAGGTCGGTTTTACTATGACCAATTCCTTTAATAGTCCACAGTGTATTTAAGATATTGTACAGTGTATAGTCAACAGTAAGTAGTACAACCCTCTGTTGTATACATACTGTATGTACACATACACTCATCTACCAAGTTAGAGTGAAAGTATAGGTCAATTGACATCATGTGGATCACTGCATCCTAAATTGCACAGTTCAGTTTGACTAACATACTTAATCCTATATGTAATGTCACAGATCAGAACAGGTTATAGATAACTTTCAGTTTTCATTGCTTTTCATACATTGTTAACAGAGTGTAACATATGACAGTCTATGTGCAATCTAAAATAAAGGAAAAGCAAGAATTTGTTGTCACCTGGACAATTCAGTGGAAGACATGTTTTGTAGCTTTTAAGTTGTGCAATGGTCAACAAACTGAGAGCTTGGTGAATGTTTCTTGCATTCTCTACCTTGCCCAATGATACTGCACTGGGCCTTTTTATTGTGAAACTTGTGAAATGTGTAATATAAATGTAATGTGTCTAACTGTAATCAGTGAGTTCAACTCTGTGCAGGTAATATTCTGACCACAGTCAGTTGCACTGTTCCTGACAAATAAAAAAACCCATAACATACACAAGTCAATGTGTCCTGCATTCTTAACAGGTCTAACATTTGGAATGATCAAATACTGACCCCTGGTGTTCATAGTAAAGAATGCATCTCCCCAAAGTACAGTGAAGAGTAGTGAAAGCATGTCCACATACTTGATGCAGATTTGACACCCATATCAAATAAAAAAAAGTAGTAGAGTCACATATGAGCAAAATAATCAGATCTGGGCCAGCAGTGTGAACGTAGCCTTTGTGTCAAAACATGGTGGAGAACTGAGGGAGTTGACGGAATCCTCATCAGCTCTGTTGATACACTGGCTTTGGCCCAGCCCTTTATTACAGTGCAGATCGGCTGTGTGGGTCAGAAAGTTGCACGATCAGACTGAAATTAAACTTTACATTCCTAAAGATTTCAAAAATGTTGTGTGCTTGTGTGTGATCTGCAGTGTAATACAATAATACAGTGTGCGGCAGCCAGCTAAAGCGGTGATAATACTGTTAATATAACATACACCTTAACTGATTTTTACTTTTTGAGGTGGGGCATTTTTATGTGGCTGTGATAAGATATCTGTGAATCACACTCTGTATGGGATTGTTGTCTGCCTCAAGGAGTAAACATACAAACAAGTGCATGTATACATTTATGAAGCCAAGTGTGAGGAAGAGTTTTTCCTGTAAAGTGATGTGAAACTACTAATACTAGTTCTCTGAGATGAAAGGGAGGTAAAAACTGCGTTCACACACATAGCTATGCAGTGGGCGAGGTGACACCCGGAGTATATAAAGCATGTTGAGGTCTCACCCCAGCTCTCCTTCCGTTTACCACAACCGTTTCAAGGTGAGTCTCTTATAGGAATCTAATGACAGACTCAACTCACAGTGCAGTATAATTCAAAATAGAATTTTCATACAATTTTCTTTATAGGTAGACGGCCCCACTGTGGAGCTCATGAATGAAAGTTTGGATCACTTCAACCTACTGATTGCACTCGTGGAGAAAGCATCTCTCTTTCCGGAACTGGAGGAACAACTGGAAAAAAACAAGGACCAAATAGAGTTATTTTGCAGCAATTGAGGACAATAAACAGAAATTGAAAAAAAAAAAACTAAGAAATATTTCAAAATCCTTGAGGAGCACAGTTAATTGTAAAAAGCAAAAGGAAAACTGGAAAGTTTGAAGGTGAGTCAGTCAGTTTCTATGTTGCTCATAAAAATTTTACTTCTGAAAGACATCAAGACCATAATGGAGAAAAGCAAAGAGCTGTTTGAGGGTTTCGGTGCAGAAATGGAAAACACTGAAAAGTAATTGGGGGAAAAAAAGGAATATATTAATTTCCTTGAGGAGCAGCAGGGTGAATTGTAACTTCCGTGTCAATTAGTGCCTCTATCTCTGATATTGCATTTATTGTATCTGTTTAGTTTTCTCTTTCCTAGTGTGCAACTCCATCTCAATGTTTCTGCATTTGAAATCATAAATTCAATTTAATGGTTTGACATGAAATAGGATGTTACACAATGAGTTGACAGGGAATACATTTACAAATGTACTGCTGTGCATTACAATTGGGGAAGTGGAAACAATGATTATGCAAAATGAAACAAAATAAACACATTTTACTCCTGTTACTTCTAGTTCACTAAAACATAAATGTGGATAACTTAAGTGAATTATGTTTCTGTTTTCTTTGGCTTCAAAACAGAAATCAGAGCTTTTAATTAATGATAATGATTCAAATATTGTACATGAAATCCAGCATATGTGGATATCTAATAAATTCAGTACCTGGGAATTATTGTCTGTCTGTTGTCTGTTCTTTCTTTACAATCCTAAAAGATGAGGCCCAGAGTTCTGATATAAATATGTTCTCTGTAGACGTAATGCCAGGCTGGTAAGTTATCCTCTCTGTTGCTTATAACAAAGACCATTTTTACTCATGCTGCAGGAATTCAAGCATATTATTGAGAGAGAGCAGCTCTTTGAATTAGGATCAATGCTGGCGTGTTTGTAATAATCATTGTATAATGATGGTTTGTGGGATCAAACAGTGAAGAATTGTGTCCAGATGAGATTTAACTTCATGTCCAGTGATCCAGTTATAACCATAAGCATTATTTCTACTGTTTATGTATTTTTACAAACATGCATGTGTACTGTTTTGATTTCACAGGAAGTGAAAGTGAATGACTGACATGAAGAGATGTGCACGTGCATCACACACTGTGTTTGTTCACAGCACCTTATGAAATGGAAAAAAAATATTCTGAGAGTTCTTTCTCACATTTTGCTGCCATTTATTGTCCTGCTAGCTCTGTCTCTTCTGCAGGACAGAGGGCAGGGCTCAGCTCCACACACACACACACACACACACACACACACACACACACACACACACACACACACACACACACACACGCACACACACACACACACACACACACACACACACACACACATAGTATCATAGTATTGGGTCAGGATTTCACAGATTGTGTATAAGAAAGTGGATCTATCAGTGTATTAAACAACTGACTATTAATTGCTTCTCATGAAGTGAAAGGAAGTTTTACCTACACTAAGTGATGTTGGAGAATTACTAGAAAGTAAAAATACTGTTTCTGTGAAAATGAAACTCAAGAGACGAACAGAAGAAGTAGAATTGCAAGCGAGTGGAGACAAGGTAAAACCTGTGTGCACAAACAGCTATGCAGTGGTTGAGGTAACACCTGGAGCATATAAAGCATGTTGAGGTGTGTCATTTTATATTTCTTTTCTTCATCACCTCTAGCTCTTCCCTTTACCCAGCAGGTAAGATCAGAAACTGTAACTCACTATAAGATGGTTTATACTGTAGACCTGTAGTTCGTGCTGTACCAGGTGAGCTACCATGTACCCCATCATTTCCTAAGTTTAATAGATTGAGTTTGAATGAAGCTCAGCTGTAGTTCAATCAGGGAGACCTTCTCATTGTAACCCCCTCCACTCCATTCACCTCCGATCCATCACATCCAGTGTCCAGATTGAGCTCACCAGAAGTCCACTCTTCATCACATCCAGATCTTGAGCATTCTCTTCATTCCTTCACCACCACCAGTGTCTAGACTCCATCAGGGGGTTTCCTATAATAATCACAGCTTCACCAACACCTTTAAATACCATGACATCATAATCGGATCTAAAAGACTTTTCACATTTCTCATCTTCATTGTGCAAATATCAAAGAAATATATTTGTTCATTCAAAAAATGTAGTCTCTCCTGATTCTGGTATTTATTGTGTTTCCTTGTTGAGCTCACAAACTGTACAGTATGGTGCTTCTCAGTATAGTGTTGGACAGTTTGAATCATACTTTTTGTACACTTTGTATTGGATTGCTGTCTGCCTCAGTGTGCATCAAGTAGAGGCAAAGTGAAAGCACATGTACACACATTCTTACAACTGCATGACATAAAAACACAATGACAGAGTGTAACAGACGAATTTTTCTTTTACTGTGCTTTTTGTTTTGCTTTCAATGCAACAACAGCAAACTTGTTCTATTGTATTGTAGGATATGTGGAATAACCTGTCCTACATTCTTATGAACAATCATTAAACACACACACACACACACACACACACACACACACACACACACACACACACACACACATATGCACGCACATACTCACGCACTCATAGATGAGTTATATACTCGGAGTATATAAAGCTTTTTTTGGCACGTCACCTCATCATTTCTTCCTTCTTCACCTGTACAGCAGCTCTCCTTCCATTCACCCAGCAGGTAAGATCAGAAACTGTAACTCACTATGAGATGGTTTATACTGTAGACCTTTTAATATTACACTTCACAGTTTAAAAAATGTCCTTTTCAGTTCCTCATTGATCCTTTAATATCATTTTTATTTCACAGCGATGGCAGCAGCAGCTTTGTCCAGAAGCAGAGGAGTGGCTGATGTCAATACCACCAGAGGCCTGTTCTTCATCTTCTCCCTGCTGTGTCTGGTTTGCCTCGCAAGTTCATTCATTGACAAGGACCAACTGGTAAATATATTTTTGCTCCATTATGTTGTGATATTGCATCTATTGTACCTAAGTTACTACCTTAAATTTCTCTTTGTTTGTGCAACCTCATTTCAAAATGATTTTAGAGTCACTGTTGACAGGGATGTGAAATGTGTTGATATACCAACAACTTTTGATTCATACATTACTACTGATGTGCAGCCATTACAATTTAGGGAGTGGAAACAACGGTTTTGACTATATTTTGACTATGTTTTTGTTTTCTTTTGCTGCTTTATTTTCACAATTTCCTTCAAAACATAAGCATGAGCAGTTAAATAATGATAATGATTGAAATATTGTACATGAAATACAGCATATGTGGGCAACTCCAATAAATTTGGTACCTGGGAATTATTGTCTGTCTGTTGTCTGTTCTTTCTTTACAATCCTAAAATACGAGGCCCAAAGTTCTGATATCAATATATTCTCTGTAGAGGTAATGCCAGGCTGGTAAGTTATCCTCTCTGTTGCTTATAACAAAGACCATTTTTACAAGAAACATTTTTACAAGATCATACCTGTAAGAGCCAAAGTCATCATAACATACTGCCAGAAACTACTTGGTTAGGGTTAGGCAACAAAACTACTACCCACCCCAACTGTTCTGCAGAGTGCAGCAAGGCTATCAAAAGTAGTTTACTTGAGCTTACTAAGCTGATAAATTAGCATAGAGCTCATGCTTAATCCCAAATCTGTCAAATGCCACAGAAAATGATTACACAGACACAATCACATAAATGACGAAATGTTTTTACCTGAAAATCGTCTTCACCGATGTGTGTTGGTGATGATCACTGTGCCTTCAGCGGTGGCGCTTTCCTCGGCACCTGTAACGTTAGCTAAATGATGTAAAATGTGTCAATGTTAATAGAGGTTTTCCTCCGACAGTGGGAAACAGTTTAATACTTTATTTGCCTCTTCATCAGTCATTAAAAATGAAAATTAACTTATCAAACAGACTTTTCACAATTTACACAGTTCTTATGATAAATTCGGCACCATGTTTCACAAACCTCAAACATTAACGTTATGTTAAGTTACACTGAAGTTTATTTAACTTAACATTAGTTCACAGAAGAGCTGGTAAAGTTAAAATCCAGCCGAAATTAAAACTCTTTCTTTATGAGTCATACAAAGTCATACGTTATGATTTATAAGTAATCTGTTAAATTGAGCATTATGTTAGCGGAGTCTGGAAAGTAGCCGGCAGGCACTGAACTCCGAGTGTGTATTTTCGGAGCAACGGACCTTCGGAGCAGTGGAAGCAGTGGACAATGTGCTTTCGGTCCATGAGGACATTTTTTTAACTATTGTATTGTAACGTTAGTTGTAACTAATGCATGTTACGCTAGCTAGCTTTAGCTTTAGCTGAATTAGCTAACGTTAATATTTGCTAAAACAAAACGGTACAGACTGAATCTTTCTAACAGTTAACGTCAGATTCAAAACACGGCTTCGCTAAAATAATGGGTAATTACAGTCAATAACACAAATAAAACATTGTTCTTGATTTCAGTTTAATTACCAAACTTATTTTCTTCTTCTAATATTTATTACATTTTAGCTTCTAAAGAGACACAAATACAAAAATGTCCTCCCAACTTTGATGTTTTGAAACTTAGATACACTGCCTGTTGTTGGTATATTCACACACACACACACACACACACACACACACGTCATAGTATTGGGTCAGGATTTCATAGATTGTGTATAAGAAAGTGGATCTATCAGTGTATTAAACAACTGACTATTAATTGCTTCTCATGAAGTGAAAGGAAGTTTTATCACTCTCATACTGTGTAATATCCTTTACTGCCACCTGAAGGTTTCTGCAGACAGAAGATTTCAACGATTAAACCTTCTGCCCTCTGGCCACAGTCCTCAGCTGTCAGACATTAAAGAATGAGCAAAAACGTATCATGTTGATGACTATATTTACATAATTTGCTGTCTATCACAGTGTTACAGATTTGTTCAAATGTGTCAGGATAAATTAGGTATGTACCTACACTAAGTGATGTTGGAGAATTAGTAGAAAGTAAAAATAGTGTTTCTGTGAAAATGAAACTCAAGAGACAAACGGAAGTAGTAGAGTTGCAAGCGAGTGGAGATGAGGTAAAAGCTGTGCACACACAGCTATGCAGTGGTTGAGGTAACACCCGGAGTATATAAAGCATGTTGAGGTCTCATCTCAGCTATCCTTCCGTTTACCCAGCAGGTAAGATCAGAAACTGTAACTCACTATCAGATGATTTATACTGTAGACCTTTTAATATTACAGTTCACAACTTAAGTTAGTTTAAGTTAAGTTGCAGTTCTTCATTGATCCTTTCATATAATTTTTATTTCACAGCGATGGCAGCAGCAGCTTTGTCCAGAAGCAGAGGAGTGGCTGGTGTCACAGCCACCAGAGGCCTGCTCTTCATCTTCTCCCTACTGTATTTGGTTTGTCTCGCAAGTTCATTCATTGACAAGGACCAACTGGTAAATGTATTTTTGCTTAACTTCCCTTTGCCATAGAAAAAAATTATTCACATTTATCCACAGCCATTATGAGTCCTCATGAACACATTTACTGTTGAAATTCTCTGACACACTTTTACCTGCAGTTGTATGCATTAATATCTTCTATATTGGAGCTGCTGTCAGGCTCACATGTCCCTAAATGTTACTACATGTTGATTCTCACCCTGGATTTACAGGAAAAGCAAAAGGAAGATCTCCAGAAAGCAGAACAGAAACTGGAAAGTTTGAAGGTGAGTCAGTCAGTTTCTATGTTGCTCACTTTAGTGATGGAATATTCAGGATGAGAGAAACTCATTCACAAGTGAATTCATATAAGAGACACAACATAATGTAAGAAAATAACAAACTGAGTGGTTCTATATGTGTTTTTTCCCCATTAGGAAAAGTACAAATTAGAAATGGCTTCCAGTTTAGAGCTCATAGATGAATATATGGGCTACCTGGACCCAATGATAGCATTAGTGAAGGAAACCACAGGAACATCACCTGATGACTTTCCACCAGTGGATGGACTTCTGCAGAGCGTCAAGGCCTACATGGAGAAAACCAAGAGTTACGTGGAAGACAAAAAAGTGAAGTTAGGTGCAGAACTAGAGAACCTTGAAAAGGATCTCGAAAAAAAGAAGAAATTAATCAAATTCCTTGAGGAGCAGCTTGGTGAATTGTAACATCCATGTCAATTAGTGCCTCTATCTCTGATATTGCATCTATTGTATTCATAATTCATACATTTACAAAAATGTGTTTTTTGTTTTCTTTTGCTGGTTTATTTTCACAATTTCCTTCAAAACATAAGCATGAGCAGTTAAATAACAATAATGATTCACAGCATATGTGGGCAACTCCAATAAATTCAGTACCTGCGAATTGTTGTCTGTCTGTTGTCTGTTCTTTCTTTATAATCCTAAAAGACGAGGCCCAGAGTTCTGATATAAATATTTTCTCTGTAGAGGTAATGCCAGGCTGGTAAGTTATCCTCTCTGTTGCTTATAACAAAGACCATTTTTACTCACACTGAAAGAATTCAAGCATATTATTGAGAGAGAGCAGCTCTTTGAATTAGGATCAATGCTGCCATCTATATCTGATATTGCATCTATTGCATCTGTTATGTTTATCTTACATAGTGTGCAGCTTCATTTGAATGTCTCTATGGACTGGCTTTGAAATCAGTCACTATTGACAGCAATGTGAAATATAGCAAAAACTTTTTATTCAAACATTTACAAAAGTTCTGATGTGTAATTACAATTATGGAAGTGGAAACAATGGTTGTGCAACATTTTCCTGGTTTATTTTCACAGTAAAAAAAAGTTTTTTATTCATTGTCTGCTCTCTTTAGAATGCGTCACTGTTCACAGGGATGTGAAATGTGTTGATATACCAACAACTTTGAATTTATGAGTATACAAAAGTACTGTTGTTTACAATTATAACTTGGGAAGTGGAAAAAATGGCTATGCAAAATGACATACAGTTACATTTTAAATCTGTTTTTGTTTTGTTTTGCTGGTTTATTCTCAAAGTACAATAATTAAATTCAGCTATTAAAATCCAGCATACTGTATGTGGGTAATGGTGCGGTTAATTAATGATAATGATTCAAATATTGTACATGAAATCCAGCATATGTTGGCAACTCCAATAAATTCGGTACCTGGAAATTATTGTCTGTCTGTTGTCTGTTCTTTCTTTACAATCCTAAAAGACGAGGCCCAGAGTTCTGATATAAATATATTCTCTGTAGACGTAATGCCAGGCTGGTAAACTGCTGTTGTGTTGCAAAAATGCAGCAAAACTGCCCTTTATTTACTATGTTTATATGGGCCTAGCTTTAATGAAGATCGTTCCCAACAACAGAATCTTGAAGTCTTTCTCTGTTGTTAATCAGAATAAATATTCGGTACTCTACTAAACTATAGATTTAATCCCAAATCCCTACTGACAGTTTCTCCTGAAGTGAAAGAAAAAGGTAGAGGACAGGCAGGGAGACTTCAGTACTGAAATGTCCTGCACATATTCACATTCTTATAAACAATCATACACCTACAGGAACAGATGCATGCAGGTGAGTGGTGCAGTGGGTGAGGTGACACCAGGTATATCTGGAAATAATACAAATATTTCTTGACATAAGTGTCTTTTATCAGAAAAGAACAACTGATCATTTCTAATGAAAAGAAAGTG